CATGGAGCTGTGCTAGGGATGTAAAAGGGTTCAAATGGGATGGAGAGGAAGCATTTCTAAGAGGAGAAATCTCCTGCACCTGAGCCCTATGATTACCAGTGGGTTGGAGGCACCAGGTGCCCAGTGGCACAACAATAGCATCTGCTATCAGATGACTGTTCCTTAGGCCCACTGATTATCATCGTAATTACTGTATGGGAATAGCAATGATTGTGGCTTTGGAACAAATACTACCACTAAAACGAATACAACTAGTACAGCTGCTACTAAGAATGTCAACAATGATAGAAGAGCATACTAGTCAGTTGTGACTCCCAATGGAAACAACAGTAAAGCTCCTGAGACTGGAGCAGAGTAGCAGGTCAGGCCAGTTCGGATGAGTCTCAGTCTAGAAGAGTCAGAGAGAGGGAAGAGAGGAAGCTGTCATCACAGTATGAGGGGAGGATAAGGAGGGGAGGGGAGGGAGGGAGGGAGGGAGGGGGGGGGGGCGATGCTGTACTCTGACACCTGTACCCTACACCCTACAGGGGAGGGGACTCCTTAGATGTACTGTTTAGCATTTATTTCACACTCAGTCACACACACAGAAAGACAGACACAGGGAGCAAAGAGAGCGAGAAGGAGAGAGATGGATTCTCCAACATAAATAAAACATCTGTGTGCATGTTTCATCCCTGGAGCTGGGTTCAGGAGGATGGGGAGGGATGAGGAAGAAGAGGAGGAAGGTACAGATGTTGGATTTTAATTTGATCACTCTTTTGTTGCTGAGAATTTCCCTGCACAGCAGGAAATGCAAAATTGTAGTGTATTCGAGGTTTAAAAAGGTCTCTCAAGTTTTAAAAAGGCTTCTCAAGTTTGTAATTTAGACTTTGAAATGTCAGACTTGATTTGCCCTAATAAAAAACGTATCAACCCCTATAAAAAATGTCCATTAATTAAAATCCACATAATAATTCACATTTCCTGTTGCTGCAGGACTATTTTCCTGCTGTAGCAAACTGGCTCAAATCAAGATCCTACATCTGTAGGGTGAAGGAGAGTGCCACAGATCAGACACGTGAGGTATCCTACACACTGCTCTTCCTCTCTCATGAGGATGAGATGGATAAGGAGGAGCGACAAAGGGAGGATCTCTACTAATATTACCATTCACAGTACCATCCTCTCAACCTAGAATGATTATCAATAAAGACTCACTTTATGTGCCCTACCTCTCACCTCTCGTCTCTCATCCTCATCTCTCCTCAGTTACCCCTCCATTCCTCTCTGTCTCATCCACTCCTCCATCTCTCTCAGTGTTGCTCTGTACATCTGTCCTACTGCCTCTCACCATGGTCTCTCTCTCCCTGGGTTTGTAGAGGAATTAATTATACAAACTGCACCCAGACTTCTGGTACTAATAGGACTTAATTGTGGCCTGCATCTTGTTTAATATCATGGCTAGATACCAATCAATACTGTCTGTGTGCAGTGGACTGCTCTCACTATATTGAACTGTGGTTTAGCAGATGAATCGTGCAGAGTTGGTTCAGCAGGATGGTGTAGAGCTTGAAGATATGGTTCTTGGTATTCTATAGCAAGGCATGCACATACTAACTAAATGTACATTATGTAACCAAGCAATGACCTTCAAGTCCTCAGTCACTCTCATTAAAACGTAAAAATAAACACAACTATTTTTATTGGTTCCCGTCCTTAGATCTGTCAAGTTCATTTATGCCTCAAATAGAAGCGCAACCATTAAAGTGCCATAAGGATGTTGATTTATATGTGTTTGGAAGTAGAGTTGCGTTCTCGTTACTGTAAAACGAATGGGGGAATCCTGTGGAAAGGAAGAGAGGGACATCTCTCAGTGTTATAGCAGTATATGTGTCTACAGAGCACACACACACACACAAACACACACACACACACACACACTCACACACTTAACTATGGGTGAAAAAACATGCCAGTAAAAACAGATTTATATCAACAGGCCAAAGTGTTCCCTGTCAAGAGCCACTGGTAGCAGGGTTACACTGACCCACAGACCACGACACCACACCTGGGTTCAAATACTATTCAAAGTAATTTCAAATACTTTATCTGTGATTGATTGAGCTACCCTCGCTTAATGGACTGATATAATAGTCTCAAAACCGTAAACCCTGCCCATCTGCACTCCAGGCAGGCTACAGCAAACGCTATAAGTATTTGAACGATTTAAAATAGTATTTGAACCCGGGTCTGCATGACACTAATGGAGCCATGTGTCTGAACAGAGAAAGAAAGGAGTGGGAATGACAGACGAAAGATGGAGAAAAAAAAAGAGAAAAAACAATAAACAGAGGAGAAGAGGGTAAGAGAGAAAGAGAGTGAGGGATATTGAAAGTGAAAGGAGAGAGAGGTAGAGCATGCCAGAAGGTATGCATTGAGAAGGGAGCCAGTGGAAACATTGGAGTTTCTCTCTGGTCTGGAAATGTGACCGTCTCAGACACACCTGAAGGTAAGCCTGGAAAATCTGTAAAAAATGGTCTATAAACGTGAGAGAGTGTGAGGTCAGCCCTGGAAAAACCCACCACACACACATACCTCCTCCCACAGAGGCCCTGTAACAGACCTCACCTCTAACCTTTAACCCCTCATCTCTGACCACCAGCTCTGAAGGAGGGCCGCCAGCAGGAGATGCAGCCTACTGTATTTGGAATCTGTATCTAGACTAGTCTGGAGACAAGAGCTGTGTGTGTGGCTCTGTTAAGAGTGGTAGTAGTGTGGAACAGGAGAACAATGGCACGGCTACAGGGATCTGGTGCCAGGCATGCTGGGATACATTTCACTGCCACTCAGCCAGAGAAAATATATCAGCAGCTCTGGTGTGTCATTCTCTCTGTCTCTCTGTCTCTCAATTCAATTTCAATTTCAATTTAAGGGCTTTATCGGCATGGGAAACGTGTGTTAACATTGCCAAAGCAAGTGAAGTAGATAGTAAACAAAAGTGAAATAATATTTATTGTTTAACAGTAAACATTACACTCAGAAGTTTCAAAAGAATAAAGACATTTCAAATGTCATATTATGTATATATACAGTGTTGTAACAATGTGCAAATAGTTAAAGTACAAATGGGAAAATAAATAAACATAAATATGGGTTGTATTTACAATGGTGTTTGTTCTTCACTGGTTGCCCTTTTCTTGTGGCAACAGGTCACAAATCTTGCAGCTGTGATGGCACACTGTGGTTTTTCACCCAGTAGATAAGGGAGTTTATCAAAATTGGGTTTGTTTTCGAATTCTTTGTGGATCGCTGTAATCTGAGGGAAATATGTGTCTCTAATATGGTCATACATTTGGCAGGAGGTTAGGAAGTGCAGCTCAGTTTCCACCTCATTTTGTGGGCAGTGTGCACATAGCCTGTCTTCTCTTGAGAGCCAGGTCTGCCTACGGCGGCCTTTCTCAATAGCAAGGCTATGCTCACTGAGTCTGTACATAGTCAAAGCTTTCCGTAAGTTTGGGTCAGTCACAGTGGTCAGGTATTCTGCCACTGTGTACTCTCTGTTTAGGGCCAAATAGCATTCTAGTTTGCTCTGTTTTTTTGTTAGTTCTTTCCAATGTGTCATGTAATTCTCTTTTTGTTTTCTCATAATTAATCAGTGGTTGTGCGCAGGCTTCGCGCAAAATTCACTATCATGTGTTTCCGTTTTCTTGACCCCTGAACTCGGAATAAATTGTATTTTTTAAATTACAAACAAACGGGCTGGCAAAGACACTTGCGCCGTCTTGTGCATGGGTTGTAAAATGATCTTCAGAGATTTTTTTTTCTTGATTTTTTTTCCTACACCCATCCGTTTTCGAGAGCTTTT